CGGACTTACAATGCTAGAATCCGGGTTTTGATACCCGTGGTGGGCAGAGCACAGATAGTCCATTGTGTAGCTTTGTGCTTAATTACAAACAAACAAACAAACAAACTTATTAATAGTATTTAATTTTAGTAATTTCTAATGACCATTCATATGCATTTTTGTTTATGTAAAGAGAGAGAGAGAGTCGTAAGGTTACAATCTGAAGTAAAAAGTATATCTAGACTTCCAGATAAATTTTATACCATCCTATATACAACCTTTTCCATTTGGAAACCACAAGGTTAAACATAGCCTATTTGTATTAAGTTAAAAATAAATCTAAATAATTTGAGTTTTTGTATAATTGTACCATTACAAGTACTTATGGATTTTAGACTATATACAGACATTCCTGTATACTACAAGGACTAAACACTGTTTTTATTCATTCTTTTAGTATTTTGTGTGTAGCATATAAACAGGGGCATTTGAATTTATATTTCAAAATAAAAGGCATAGATTTGAAAAAAAAACAAAAAACTAAGTTCTGTTCAATTGGCATTTAATATAATTTTTAATTATCAAACTTTTACTAGTATGAAAAATACATAATTAACCTAATTTTGTGAAGTTTCTGGGGGAATAAATACATTAAGATTGATAGAGTACAACCCATTTTTAGTAAGCTTCATTGTTTCTACAGAATTGTGTAATAAGTAGAATGAAGTTTAAAATGTGTGGTTTTCTCAAATTTGAGTAGTCTCCTTCATGATTACTAAGTTGTAACTTATTCATGAAAATAATAGTTGAAAAGCTTATAATATTCTTTCAGATTTTTTCACTGAGGATTATTGATGTTTGTGAAAGTCATTTTCTTTTTATATTGCATTTCCAGTTTAGTGGCTAGTGCATCTCTTCAGATTTTTTTATGTAATCATTTCAGTTTCAAGTTTTTTGCTTCAGTCATATGTTTGTGTGTGTGTGTGTTTTAAACTTTACAATAAGATGAAGTAGTGTTGTGGGACACCAGATTTATATTGTTAAAATTAAATATTCCACTTTGGACAAGGATATGTCTGCTTTTTATAAGCATTTTGACAAACTACTTGATGTTATTGCATTTCTGACTTTAGAAAAGTGAAATCAGTGATTTTATGGGAGAATTTACATTTCTCAAGATTTATCAGGTTAAGATTGGATATTCCAATTTGGACAAGGATATTATCACTATTTTTAAAATCTGGAGAGATAATTTGATGTCTTGGCATTGCTGAATGTTCTTTTTTTTTTCTTCTCTCTCTCTTAGAATACATATAGGTGATTTGTTTTTAAGAGAATTTAAAAGTGTGTTAGTCTTGTAATAAGTAACATTTACATACGGAATACAATTTTGGTACAAATGTATAATACTTGTATCTACCTTAATGAGTGTAGAAAGTGACACGAAATGTTTTAATATTCATGAAAAGATGAGTCATTTACCATAAGCCACAAATTAAGAGCTAGTTTCAGGGAGTTTGTAATAACAGTTATAAAACAATTGTTAAAAGTAATTAGACATTTTTTGTTGTGGTTAATGAAAATGTGTCTTAATAATAATTATTGAATAGTTGTAGATGTTCAGATGCTTTTAGAATATAATGAAACATCAGTTTTAACAATAGTCACATCTAAACATTTTTCTCTGAAGTATTTCAAAGTAAACTCAACAGTATTTTTCATTTAGTTTTCTGTCACTATTCATTCTAAAAACTAATGTAGAAACTTCCACAGTGAAATTTTCAAATTTATCTTAAAAATTTGGTGTTAAAACAGTAGGAAAATGGCATAACTCTTAAAAAGAATATTTTGAGGCTAATACTTTCTGGAGAAGTAGTCTATATTGAATTATAATATGTACAATTTGACAAAATATTACTTGATTGTAATAAAGATTGTGTGTTATTTCTAGTAGTTTTACTTAGTTGTCCATCTGTGTTTGAAAATCATCAATGTATGTTTGTCTTTTAAAAATTAAAAATATTTTTTGCTTTTCACATTTTAGTCTTCATATTTTCATTGAGGATTCTTCTGAAATCTAGTATATATTTTTATAAAAAAACAAACTTGTATGGTTATATTTAGAAAAGATGAAATTTCAAAAAATAAAATTATTCTTGGACACTTGTGTTAAATTATGTATAAATACAGTTAAAAACAAACTTCTTTTTTGTTTACACAATAATTGTAATTTTTATTTGAAAATGATCTGCAGCCTCAATGCACTTGATGTGTTTTGATGTTCTGTAATGTGAGATCTTAAGTTTTAAATGTAAAAACTACTCTTTACCTTTTATTTTTAACCGCACATATAACATGTACTTAAATTATTCTCTGATATAACACTGACTGTGCACTTTAACATACTGACTTACAGCTGTGACCTAATGTTACAATTTAACAGTGAGAATTGATGGTAGTGAAAGGGGGAGGGGTACAATTTTCAGCACTTATCCAGAGAAATAGTTATCTAGTTATAATTTGTATCATTTTTTCAACAGTTAACTTTTATAGTCCTGTTTATTTTGTGATCAGTTTATCAAAAGTGAAAACAAACAAACGTATCTACCACTATCTCAAGTAAACTACAAAAAGTTTTGAGTAATGAATGTGTAAGAAAACTTTCATTTGTAGTTACAATTGCATAGTAGGCATTTATTGAGATAATACATATTTGCTGCTAACATCTTCAAAGTTTTCATAAAGTATAATAACTCAATAATGTATATTCAATGCAGTCCTTTGTAGTTTTTAGATAGCATTATTAATGTGAAATACAAAAGTACATTGCACCTATTGAGGAAGCATTACGGGGTTTATGAAGACCATATAAAACAAACACTGCTTTCAGTAATTTTGTCCTCTAATGTTATTTATTAGATTAATACAAGTTTAATGTATTGTACAAAATGTGATAATTCAACTCAGTATTCCCTGTTCTACATATCAAATGAAACACTAGTTAAGATGGGATAAGACATTAACATCACATCAGTATAAAACAGATGGATTATAAGTGTTATTAGAACAGTCATGCTTGTTTCTAAGAATGATTTGTCTGAAATAAGGTTTTATAATAAGGGTATTTAATATTTCAGTTACATCTAGGAAAGTTCTTTATTAAACAAGACTTGTTGATGAGTAGAATGATTAGTAATGCATGATAAATGAAATTAGCTACAATTCACAACCAGCATGGCTAATATTGAATGGATAAGCTGAGAGATAGACCATGACTTTGCTAATTGGGTGGTGAAAAAATAAAACATGAACTGTATGATGAATGCCACCAGAGTGGTTTTACACTGATCTTTCAGAATAGAAGACTGAGGTAGCTGAATTTGAATGAAAGGAGCTTTTACTGAGCTTATTACTGCTAATTAATATAAGTGCTTATGTTTACATTTTATGTTGTGATGATAATATTGCATATTCGTAGGAATTTTTTAACTGCTTAATGTTCAATTCTGTATGATGATCTTTGAGTATTGAAGTTTGTATTTGTTTTTATAACATTTGGATCAACGGGAAATTACCAAATCCAATATTTGTTGACTTTTTTTTTTTTTACACTAAAAGAATTTGCAACATCATGAAATTTGCTACATATAAATTTCATGTATTGTAAGAAATCTAGTGACACTTCAATCTTTGTTTGAATTTAAATATATAAAGTATGTTTACTTGCTGCAAGAGATTTTTTTTTAATGTGAAAATTATTTTGAGTGCCCTTCTCAAATAAGTATATTTTTTATGTAAATTAATGCGATTGGTGTAATTTCCTTCCTGGAAATGGTAATACTGGTGTCATAGTTTCATTTCAGATAGTTTTATCTGTGACATTTTCAGTACATTCCTGAAACTTCATGCTTACAACAACTGAAACCCTTAAAATATTCTTTTTGTGTTTGATTTTTGTTTATGCATTATATCTGTTGTTAGTGTATCAGAACTTAGCTGTGTATGTGCGCTTCAGAAATTGTTATTACATAATTAATACTGATCACAGAAGCTCTTTTTTTTTCCAGAAAAATAGGTTATAAACATTTGGTATTTGTGTTTATTGTATCATGAATTTTTTTTGGTTTTTCTTTATATTGGGTCCTGTTGTAACTAAGATCATTTGATAAGTAAAAGAATAAATTGCTGTTACGGAAAACTAAATTATTATCAAAATTGTTTTTTTAGGGAACCTTCGAGCATCTTGTGAATATGTATTGAACATTCTGCGTAAAGAGCGGGAAACACTCTTGACCCTCTTAGAAGCATTTGTGTATGATCCACTAATAGACTGGACTCCAGGTAATGAAGGGGGGTACACTGGAGCAGTGTATGGTGGTGGTCAAACTGTCATCACTGATACTCGTCAAACTAAACAGGAAATGGAACAAGAGATAGCATTTTCAATGTTTGCCATCAGGATTGCTGAAATGAAGGGAGATTGGTTAAAGAATAAGTAAGTATATTTAAATGTTGAAACATAGCAGTTCTTCAAGGAAGTTAAAAGAAAATTGTTTTTAATTAAGAAACATTATTCAGACTAGTTAGAAACTTTCAACGAGTTTTAAGTGAAATGTATTATTACATTTAAGATTTTGCTGTGTTTAATTACAAGGTATATTTTGAGAGGTTATAGACAGTAGCTGAAACAGTGCTGTGACTAAGATTAACATTTAAAATAGTCTTTTATTCAGAATTGAGACTATTATTAAGTGTAACAGGTAATTAATTTGTCTTTCTTGTAACAGGGATGATCTAGCGGCTTCACTGCCCAAGTTGAACAAGTTTTTACTAGCTTGGCTTGAAACTCAGACTGAGCTTCAGGCAGCAGAGACAGAATTGCAAGAAACCTGTCACAAGAGGGCATTGCTTGAGGAAGCACGAATTGACTCATCTCATTCATTGCATTCACTTCCTAAAAGGTTTGTATTTAAGTTGATGTGATTAACATAATTTAGTTTCTTAGAGCATGCATTACTGGAGAAAGCTTCTACTTATTTGCACATATGCTAGTTCAAAATACTTTCTATAATACTTAATTTTTTTTTTTACTTTTTTTTTCAGTTACAAATTATCAGTGAATATTGATAAAATACTTATAGAGATCTGGTGAAGTTGTGTCAACATGTATTCATGCAAGTAGAATGTTGATTTTTAATTTTTTTTTCTAGATATGAGGAATATGCTGTTGTTAAAAATACACTTCAGTCAGCTAAAGATGCAGTGCGAGACAAACTAGATGATTGCAGAAAGTGGCACAACCACCATATTGTATGTACCCATTAATTTACCTAAGCATATTGTATATTCTGTAATTTGAATTCTTGCTTTTCTTTATTGGAGTACGTCATATGCAGTACTAAAAAAAAAATGGTATTTTTATGTGCCCAGTTTTCACTGAATTCATCATTTTAGTAACAAATCTCAATATAAATTTGTGTGGAAGTGATAAATGTTGCATTTATTTGCTAGAACAAATAATTGTACATTGGTTTAGACCAAGTAATAGTGGTCAGTATAAGTTTCTCTATATTTTGGTTATCATTAAAACTTGGATTATGTAAGTTAGATTATCAGTGGCACAGCAGTAAGTTTGAATGCTTATAATGCAAAAACCGTGTTTCATACCTTTGGTGAACACAGCACGGGTAATCCATTGTATCACTTTGTAATTAACTGCAAACAAACAAACTTATGTCTCTTAAGCTATCATGTACCTTTAGTTGGTAACAGAAATACATGAAAAGCATTCAGGGCTATTGCATTTAACTTCACAATTTTTTTTCCTTATCTTGACTCACTGGTTCCTGATTGTTTCAAACAAATTAGTCATCTTTGGAAGAAAAATCCCAAAATCACTTGCTGAAATTTTTAGTAACTTCTTGTAATCTTAAGGTGATATGACTTCAGTTGTGAAAACAGTTCAAAGCTAATGTAATACGATTACATAACTGGTTTCATATAACTCTTACGACAGTTTTGTAACTTGTCATGTATCAGTCTTTTGTCTAATTTACTCAAAATCAACAAACTTAAAAGATAAAAAAATGAATTTCTACATTTTAATGTCAGTATTAAAACATTTTTTCTGGGCCCATTATTATGGTATAAAAAAAAATTAGTTTTGGAATATGGTGTACTTTGTTTGAGGGATACTCTTGATTTCCATTCTAAAGTGGAAATTAGTTTTGAATTGATTAAATTTCAAATGTTTTACAGATTTATTGTGTAGAAATTTAAATTATTTACAGTTAAGAAATACAAAACTGGTGATAATTAAAGATTTTCTGTGAGCTTCTTCTTACTGTGATGTTATTTTTAAAGTTTTTTTATTATTAATCATCTATATAATACATTGCTTACTCTAGAGTAAATGTTTGTGACTTACTTTGCCAACTTGTAAGAATATTTATCAGATAAATTGTAAGTTTTCTTTTTATGCCATATTACTGAAGCATTTAATACACAAACAAGTACAACTTGAAGATATTTTAACAGTTTCTCTATGCAACAATACATTTATTTTTTCTGTCACTGTAGTTTACACTTCTCTTGATATTTTTCATCTTGAATTACATGTCAAGGAAGAATAAGAATGTAAATATTTCATAGAGAGGTATTTTCTATCTATTCCAAGCTATGTATTGTTGTGTCAGGCTTTACAGAATTTTAATTAGCACCTTCTATAACCAGCAGCCAACCAGAAGCTTGGTCAGTGGTTTCAAACTTTTTTTTTTCACTGATAACACCATAACTCACCTTGATATGCACATGACACCCCTGCTGCCACATGCACTATATGTTTTTTTTAAAGTATAGTTATATGTTTTTCCTTTTCTACTTTGATTTTAATTGGAACAGTAATACTTGAATATATAAATTATTTCTGTACTTGGATAATGTGTGTCCTAATAAGTATCTTCTCACAGTAATCTTTTTGTTACACTGTCATAGCTTATGGTGGTGATGCTTCAAATGGAATTGGTTAATATGCTATTTTGATTTTAATATTTTTTCTTTGTGAAAGAGAATGTTAATTATTATTTATGTTCCATTTTTAATAAAAGCAAGCAAAACATCTTAGTGTTTTAGTTAATTTGGAATCTTTATCATTTATTTGTGCTTTTAAAAAATGAAAGCATCAGATCCAGTTGGTAAAGATTAACTAAGAATGTAATAAATCTTGTTTTGTTGTGCACAAGTGTGTGTGTGAAAATAAATCTATTGCAGCAAATCTGGCAACTTTGTTCCAGTTTTTTTTTTTTTTCACTTCTTCTCCATACTTTAAAAGTTATCTGACTATTCTTTAATATCTTTGTAGTCTGGTTTGCAATCCTTGTGTGGCCCAGAGCTTGGCCAGTGGTACAATGAGATTGCAAAACTGGAGCCTCAAACTGAAAGTGTTCCAGAAGTTCATGTTGCAGGATTCCTTCAGTCAGCAGGCCAAGGGCAACTTGTTCAGCAGGTAAGTTTTTTTTGCTTCTATTTTATATGTAGATAACATTATTCCTATACTTGATAACTCAAAGTCACTTTGGTCAGTAGAAATAACCATTGTCCACTCTTCACCAGCACAATAATAAGGCAGTTTGTTGTAAAGAAGCCAAATTCATTTAATTAGGCTTTTACTGATAATAATGATTACTGTTTTTAATATCTTGTGAATGTATAAACTAAAATTTGAAGTGGTTGCATTCATTTGTTTATAGCCAAGTATTGCATTCATTTGTTTATAGCCAAGTGAACTTTGTTTTAAATCTTGTTTTGATAGCTTATTAATTGCCAATCATTGTTTCTGGTATTTGATGAAAGTTTTCACGATTGTAAACTAAATGCTTTTGAAATATTTTCAATGTTTCTTTCAATGATGAAGTGCATGCAGAGTAGATAATTGCACCTTATTGTGTGTCGTTTCAGTGTGAGCATGCTGAAAAGGAGCTTAACAGTCTGTTGGAACAGCAGAGGTTGACACTCAGGACTTGTCTGGAGTTGTTGTCACGATATGCCACGATCATAATGCAGGTGAGGATTTCTTAAAACTATAATAAAATTATTATTTTATAATTCTTCTTGTGAGTCTGGTAAACAGAAGAAAGCAACACACAATATTAAATGTGCACTTGTTTTTTGATATTTTTTAAATGTTAAAAAATTTATATTTTTGTTACAGTTTCCTTCATCATACAAAAAGGAAAACAGGAACTACCAATGGCAGGAATGGCTAGAAAGTTTATTGAACAATTTCACTCTTTCCAAGTATGTGTTCTGTTTCTATGTTGTTATTTCTTGAAGTTCCCTTAGAAAGATACAGGTTCATCCTTTAATATAGCTCAATCACTTAAATTCAGGTTCTGCCCATTATTTTGCATGAAATCAAGATTAAGCTTCTGGCCAAGTCATAGTATTTCCATGTTGTGGGTTGTGAAGTATGTCTATAAAGGGTTTTTTACAAATTTGCCGCACATAGCTAGAAACTTGTTTTTGTTATTAGTGTAATAGAAAAATTAGGTATTTAATTTAATAAAAAAAATCAAGTATGTAGGGAAAGACTCCTGAAAAGCAGTTGGATGCTGCTATGTCAGAAGTGTTGGAGGTTAAAAAATTAACTTTACTTAGAAAATATAGAAATTTAATGTTGACCTAGACACCCAAGCAGTTTTTTGTTCTTGAAACTGCTAAAGTGGATTATTTTGTTTCTTAAGGTAGATTTGGGAAGTTATATGAAATGTTTGTTTTTCCAGTTGTCAAGTGGTGATTAATGAGTTCCACAACAAATATGGTGCAGAGAGCATTGATGTTGAGTTAGTTCAGGCTGCTGTTACAACCTATGTTCAAATGCAATCTGAGGTGACTAACTTGAAGACTAAAGTTGTAAATGTAAGTTAAAAAATAAATTTACCAATTGAAAGAAAATGTATGCATTGTTAATAATAACTAAGGTCTGAGGAATATATAATATATGTATTAATTTTTTTTTCCTTTACTATTTTAATTCTTCAAATCAGTGTGAAAAGTTTTGAAGTTGGAACTAGTCATGGCATGATTCACTATCAATACAGTAACTGACAGTCTGTGTTGTATCATAAACAAGATATCATAGAAGATGTTTTTATATGGTAGAAACAAAAAAAAAAAAAGCATGGAAGATTAAACTCAAGTTGAAAACGGTAAGGTACAATATTACTCTCAGATGAGCAAGTAGTGCTTTGTCAGCATAAGATTTCTAAACATTCATATTTTGAAATTTGATTAATTAGTTGTGACCATTAGAACTATTTATCTTAATATATTGAACTTAAAGACTATTTATTAAATTGAGAAAGGGTAGAAATATGTTTAATGACCTTGAATGATGTGAACTTTACCACAACATCATAAGTATTTCATTACATATTGGAAACAATACTGCCTAATTCTATAGTAAAAGAACAACATTTTTACATAACTCTGATTGTTAAATTGCTTTGCTTTAGAATTATGTATTAAAATGGAAATGTATGCAAGTTCAAATGGTTTTCTTTGAAATAACAGATAATTGCTTTATGTATGGTGTTTTTAGTGGTTTTTACTCACCACGATGAATCTGTATTGTAGATTCATTCTTTTAAATTATTCTTAGATACTTCCCTTTATCACATCACACTATCAGTGTATTTTATTGTGAAAGTTTTTAAAGCTAAATGCATAAATAATAATTAGTTTACAAAACAGAAAGGCTATTATTCTGTAAAACTGTTAGGGCAAAATCAACAGAAATTTAAGTTTGTATTTTTAGCACTAATACTTAATTAAATAATACTACAAAATAAAAACAGTCTGATTTGGTTTTAAAACTGGGAATCAATTAATTGAAAAAATGCCCCTATTGACATGGTTGATGCTTGTAAAAAAGTGTGGGCAATTAGTTGTCACATAACACTGTTTTTTTATAGATACAACATAATTTAAAAGCTGAATATATTATCTCTTTGACTGTTCAGGTGAAATGGAAAACCACCCACCCCATTTACAAAAATGAAGAAAAAGAATTTTTGCCTTATGAAATAATAATATAAAATGCAAAAGTAAAGAATAAAAACTAAAAAGCAGTATAAAGACTTCTGTAGGCCTGATGGGTGCACCAAGTGAGGAGGAAGTGGAGAGGCAGTCTTTTCCAGGGCAACTCTCACTGACCTCGAGATGAGATGGCAGGGCGAGCAGTATTTGTTTTTGTGTTTTTACAGATGATGTATTTCACTCCTTTCTTACCTCACACACTGGCACAGTGTTGGTTGTGAATAACATGACTATTATACAAATACTACACTTAGCATACTAATATTAGTCACTAATATAACTACTGTATAAATGTCTAACATTTACACTATATTCATTTTCTTGGTGCAACCAAATATCAACTGGGATATCAGATGGTGGTGGGAAAACCTAAAACATCATATGATGCATGGTGCATTGAAAGGGTTGATGTTTATATAAAACTATATTTCCAAACAATAGTAGTAAGATATAGTTTCAAATTCTAGGGTTATTTATGGTAGTTATTATATGTCACATGTATGGAAACAATCCAGTATGAAACTTCGTAATTTCCATGTGGGTTTCATAAACATTAATTAACCTCCATATGTACTTTTATCAAAAAGGAGTGTAATAAGCTGTTTACTTCAAAGTTATAGAAACATGTAACAGGTACTGTACTGATCTTGAAAACATGCTGTTTATTATGTATTCATTTTATATATTATTGTAAAATTAAGTACTGACCAACTTTGTCATGAATATATAATTATTTATGTTTACTTTGACATTCTCAGTTACTAGAAAGACGTCATTTGGAAGGAGTTGAAGACTTGCCATCCATCACAGCTGCAGTTAAAGATGCTAAAGCTAATCTTGCACAGTTTATTGAAGGTATATTTTTCCTTCTGAATTGTTATTTCTTTCTTTATTTTATTTACATGGAAGCCGTTCGTGATGACTTGATAAAAATAATGAAATGAAATATGCCTGGAAATTATTTAATATTCAATTGCTAATGTTGCATACAATTAATAATAAAATGCTTTTTTAATGGCTTAAAAGTAAGAGCATTAATTAAAACTACCTTACTTACATATGGCAAATGAGAGATTCATAATTAAGAGGTGCTTTCTTTGTATAGATGTGGGAGTTGCATTGTTTAGAAGGATCTGTATGTGTTACACTGGCTGATTTTATCTTTTCATATTGAAGGATAAAATAAATAAAATCTAAAACATGCCCAAGTCAGATATTAATAGTTTCTTTGCTAATAGCATTTTGAGATCTGTGGCATTAAAAATATTGCGTGTGAGAGTTTTTGGAGAACATTTTAATAAATTAGGCAATGTAGGAGTAAATAGTTTCATGTTAATTCAACAGAGAATGGAGAAGAAGGTCAGTTCAGCCTCATGGGTGTGATGGTCAAAACTCTTTCAGCTCTAACAAAGAGGTTGGTCATGATGGAAGGTGCAGCTGCTGGTAAGTTATTTTTGTTTAAGGTCATATTTACTTTTATTTTGTAAAAGGTTTTTCTGTTTTGCATTTCTTGAATCATTATTGTGTTGTTGTAACACACTTAAAGAGTGTATATATGTGTGATGTACAGTATATATTATTGATTTTGTAGAGTGTATATACATGTGATGTACAGTATATATTATTGATTTTGTAGAGTGTATATACATGTGATGTACAGTATATATTATTGATTTTGTAGAGTGTATATACGTGTGATGTGCAGTATATATTATTGATTTTGTAGATTGTATATATGTATGATGTACAGTATATATTATTGATTTTGCTGACAAGTACTTTTACCCTAACTTTAAAATCTCATTGACTAAGACTACCTTAGTTCAATATCAATGTTATCTTAGAGAATAATAATTATGAAGTGTCGTTTTGAATTCTAATGAGCTTTTTGTTTGGTATATTAAGTAATCTAACAAATAGCTCTAATGGGAAAACTTTACAAAAAACAAAGCAGGCTTTGGTGTCAAATCTCACCCTTAAGTTTTGTTAACTATTAGATGAGCAGTCAGATAAAAAAAATGTTCAAACAAAATGCAAACAGTAGCTCTTTTTTATGTACCTCTCCTAGTGTGTTTGTTTTCAACTTTAATATGTTCACTTTTTAATCATTTTGTTGAAATTACATTTTCATCCCTTGAACAGCTTTTTCAAAGATTCTACATCATTTTTTTTTCTCCACCTCAAGGGTTCCAATAATCACACTTTAACATTCATATACAAATTACAGTGTTAGTAAGCTTTTAATATTTTACAGTAACCAGATTACAGTGTTAGTAAGCTTTTAATATTTTACAGTAACCAGATTACAGTGTTAGTAAGCTTTTAATATTTTACAGTAACCAGATTACAGTGTTAGTAAGCTTTTAATATTTTACAGTAACCAGATTACAGTGTTAGTAAGCTTTTAATATTTTACAGTAACCAGATTACAATGTTAGTAAGCTTTTAATATTTTACAGTAACCAGATTACAGTGTTAGTAAGCTTTTAATATTTTACAGTAACCAGATTTAAGCTATTAATTCTGTATGGTTTCAATGTAGAAATTTGCATTACATTTTTGTTTTAGCGGCTGGTGAGCATTTGGTAGATCTGGTGTCGTGGGGAGGAGACTGGTTTTTAGATGAGATTCACAGCATGGGAAATAATGTAGCTCAAGTGATTAGTGTTTTCCAGGAGAATTGTAAGGTAGGGATTATCACGTGAATAGTGCAGTCAGTTTCATATATCCGTAGACCCAACGACTGTAATAGCTAATTAGTCGTAACTGATTACTCTCACTATGTATACTTAATGTAAATTATCCACCATTTTTGTGAAAGAAGGATTGTTCAAAAGAATAGTTAATAGCTAATAAGCTTGAAGTTGTCTGAACAGCATTTTTATGAGACTAAAGATACACACACACACTGTAGTTTTTCTTTATGCAGTTTAACATCACACTGTTTGTATTCTAAAGTATGTGAACAAAAGCAAGTAGAATAATTTTGTAAATTTGTCTTTACTCCTTAAGAAAAAAGGTGAGTATTTACCAAAAGACTAGGTTCTGTTCATTAATGAAAATAGATAACTTGTCTTTGGCAAATGTAATTTCTAAATGTCAAATTACAGTAACTGTAAGTGTAATAAATATACTGGAAAACATGTTTTCTTCTGGTCATAAAGAAAACGTTAAATGGGAGATAGAATCATATCTAAATAGTTTATCTCTTTCTTATTACAGGTGTTTTATTGTACTAAATAAGTAATTAATGCAGAAAACTAAAACTTGTTTTAAATCTTTGTTTTCAGAATATTCAACCTCAGGTAAAAGCAGCCTTTAGCACAGTGACTTCTGCTTTAAATGTGTTCACAGCTCTAGAGGTAAGATATTGTGGTTTATGAAAAAAGATTTAAATATTTAGTTTTTTTGTGATTTTGTGTGTCTGTAAGGAACTTACTTTTTAAGTAGTATATTAAAGTAAGTATATGGGTGTGTTGAGCTAAGGATTCTTCTAAATTAGGTGTCTCTGACTTGTTTGCGATAAATTCGATGATAAATGAACAGCATGCACTCTGCTTGTTTTAAAATAATATATTCAAAACAAGTTAAATGTATGTACAACAAATTCTTTGCACTATGTATACCATAGTTGTATCCTGAACTTCTGATACTTGTCTGCTTTCGTATTTAGGCCTACTTCCAATAAACATTTGCTTTTTGTCATGGTCTACACAGGCAGGTTCAATTGCCTTTAGAACACCCTTTGATGAGACAAGTTAATCTCCTGAAAAGTCAGAAAACTGTTAATCTCACTTTAATATATCAACCATTAGGCTATTCACTCCTATGACAGTTAACTTCATGTTTTCTAACCTTTCTCCACCCAAACTCTTTCACTTGGCTATACTTTTGGTTCTCTTCCTGCTCTCTGATCTCTTTCTAGTAATCTCCATAGCCTCAACTTCGGTAACTTACAAACACAACTTCCAATAATCATCTGCTTTTAACTTTATTATGAAAAAACTAAACAATATGAAATATTAAATCTCAAAATAAATACATTAATACTACCTACACTAAACAGTCTTTTATATATGACAGTGTTAGTTATTGGTTCTGTCTAGAATTGTTTATATTTAGTGGTGTAAAGGTAATTTATATTTTAAATATTTTAGGTATGATTTGTTATTCAAAGTAGAAAAGTGATTTTTAGTCTAGATTTGGGTTATATTTATAGGTATTGCATTGTAGCCTTTTTGTCACTTGTGCTTGTAAATTTATAAGACTTGTAATTTTAGTCTAAAGGTGGATTAAGCTTTTTGGTGTTGAAATCAGTTACAAATATTTATAATTTTGAAAGTGCTATAATATTGTAAACTCAAAAATAGTAGGTGTGAGGTGATTAAAGAATAAAAATTTTAAAATTTACTTTATTCATTGGATGGATATTTTAAGGTGTTATAATTTTTGTATGTAATTGTTGGATCTCTTTTTGTTTTTGGTAGGACTTGAGTTTCAACTTTCAGACAATTATTCTCCCAGAAGCAATGAAATGCATTCAGAGTAAAGAACCAAGTGTGCTGGAAATGGTGGAGAAGCTGGAGATCTTGTTGAAAGGCCCTAGCTTAACAGTTACTGAACTAACAGCAAAATTGGAATCGCACCTGAGGAACCTTATCATGGAAATAGAGGTACCAGAGTTCAGTTCTAACTATTGCAAATTCTTTGTCAAAAATTGTACGTAAAGAATAATTTCTGCTAGAAACGTGTAGTTAATAAATTACCTGCTAAATGTCTTTGTAGATGTAGAGATGAATAAATGACTTCAATATTCATATATTTTTTTTAAATATATAATTTGTAGATTTTTTACAGTGATGTTTTTTTGATGGTTAGAATCATGAAGTTGTTTATAGTAGTAAAATTCCGTTTGTAGGATGACCAGTCCTTAGTAGTAACCACTGTAAACTTGATGAGAAGAAACTTTGAAAACCTCATGAGAGGTGCTGAGCCAGAAATTTCCGGTGAGTTCGTAGGGACCTTTTTTTTGCCTTTTATGTCCTAGTTAAAGCTATGCAAGAAACAAAGTAGTATTTTACATCATAGCTGAAGCCTAAAAAAAAAAAATTAATATCATGTATAATTTATAAAAAGAATAACACTTTAATTTAGCAGTTGAAAGTATTATATTGTATATTAAAACTGCATGTATCTCTAACTTTTTAAATAATAGCTCATCACTTGTAGTTTAGTGTCTTTAGTTTCCTAGCCAAATTTATTCCATAAAGACAATGTTGTTGTTTAGATTTTTGCTAGAACACAAAATGTTTTTTTTCTTATCTTAGTATATTTGCAAGTTTTAAAGCCTGATAATAGAAATGATAAAATATTAGAAATAAATCACCTTAATAGAAGACCATATTAACATTTATGCCACCTCATCACTCCCTAAATAAATACCTTAATAGAATAACATAAAACTTGATTATAACTTTTATTCAATATAAATGTCACATATTATTAAAATTTGTGCCACCTTGGATCTCCCTGAATAAATCACCTTAACCCTGTTGCGACTGGTCATGTCAAAGGCCATGTCATCCTGTTTGTTGACTCACATTCAAAATTTTATTGAACTACTATTTTAATGAATTTATGTCAATTTTGTTATCAAATTGTAGATTATAATTCAAGTTTTAGTATTATATGTTAGCTAATTTCTTAACTTAAAAGTAAATATTAAAAAGGTACAGCTAAACATTGATTTTTGTGTGTCACGTGGTATGTTGAATGCAGCAATGGTTCAAATTGGATGTTTGTGATGTCAAAATACAAAGTCTGTAGTTTCGTACAAATTAGGAACTCAAACTACCGATATTGACAAACTAGAATATAAAAGAAGAACCTCTTATCTTTTCTATTTGCTAAGATATTTCTCATGTAATAAATCAACCACCTTTTTTCATTTTTGGAAATGCTCTCATATATACACTTCTATATATGACATGAATAACCAATTAAAAGCTCAGAATGTCCTCCTATGTAATATGGTAATAACAAGCATTGATTAGTAATCAAAAGTTAATTTTAATTATCTTCTACTCATTGGCTGATCATACAGACTGCTTTAATTGACAATTATTTCCCCACAAAAACATAAAAAAATGTAGCAAAGTATGTGGTACAAAAACACAAGTTATATACAAATTTTAGAGCTGACTCCTGGACAGATGTTGCTGATGGGATTCAATGGCCTGTTTTCTAAACTAGAGGCAGACATGGCTGACTTCCTTTTATCTCTGGATCAGCTGGCTCCTCCTCCTTCGTGGCGTAAATTGGATGTGATGAGAGATGCAGCAACTTTAACAGTAAATAAAGTTTTTTTTATAGCATATTGATCTTTAATTTTTATTTTCTTTCTACATTGTACAGAGATTATCAGTTTTCTGTGTTAGTGTGACAAGTACCTTTACTCTTGTTTGTTACATATCACAGACAATTTAACCATCTTAAGAAAATGTCTGTATTTGGTGGTAATGGTTTTAATATTTTGCCTATAAACTTTTAGTATTTATTTACACCTGTAAGGGATGGTAAACTGCTTGTGAAGGTGAGTAGTGAGTGCCATTTATTTGATGTATACTACTTTGTTTGCATAATGAAACAGGCTGAACTATTAGGGATAGAATTTACATATGCCTTCAAGTTCACAAACACAGTTAACTGATGATGATGATTGTCTCATAACAGCAGACATTCTAAATTACTGCTACAGTTTTTTTAGATAGAAAATGTAAAGAAACCCTATTAATTTCAGAGAATACAGTTAAACAAAAAAAATCCAAGTGGAATTTTTAATTATTTCATAATTAATTAGCATAATAACATATTTTATGTGTGCTTTAAATAGTATAATACTGTCTGTTTGCATGTAAGTTCGATTTCACAATGTACAACACTATAATGTTATGACAGTTATGTTTGTGTTATCATATGAAATCTACCTTATTATGCAGACTCATAATTATTTTGAAATCTTTTGTATAAGGCTAAAATAAGTTAGCGAGTGTCTTGTTTGCCCTGATGAAGCTATAATGGCTAAACGTTGGCTTAAGTAAAAGTTATTTTCTGGAGTAATTGCTCTTGTTTTATTTTTACATTTAGTTTGTTCATTCAAGCTATTCTGTTATATGCATAACTTTAGTGTGTTTCAAAATTGTTTAACAAAAGGGCTTGTGTTTCAAAATTGTTTAGTTTCTTTTCTAAGTACAGTACCTTGTAAAGAAAGTGATTGTTATTATACTTTTTGTTCAGTGTCTTAAAATAGCTAACTGTTACCATTGAAGTGACATACCAAGTGAAAGGTCAATGTGTTAAAAAGGATAGAAATATTGTATCAGTTGATAGCATATCATTGAGAAATGTTAATGAAACATTTGATTGTTGTTATAAATCACTAACTTCTTGTAAGTTAGAACTTGAAATGTTTTTTGTTTTTGAAAGAGTTAAGATTGCATATCCCTTGTATAAGGTGGGCCATAGTAAACCCTGAAATAAAAATACTAAGGATACTAATTATTTATGTCAATTGTTAACAGTTTGCATATATAATGGTGGTGTGGACATTTTGAGCCTGAGTTATACTAGAGTGATCCAGTAATTATGCAAAGTACAGCTTAAGTATGAAGAAAGGTTTATGTTACTTTAAATTTAACTACACACACACAGTTTAATTTAATTATTTGTTGTTGTTGATTTTGAAGTCTTTATACTAGTAGGCAAATGAAAAAGAAGTGGCACAAACAAACTTTATTTTCACTTGCCCTAAACTCAGTGAACCCAGACCTCTCCACTTTCCCCTCTTTAATGGAAAGCAGGAACTATCCCAAGTCTTTGGATTTTGCTTTGAAATCTGTATTATGGTTTAGTGATGTATATGCTATGTCATAACTTCAATTCTATTGAATTTGTGTTTGATATACATTTTAAAGTTATCTTAAAACTTTAGCCATTGCATGACAAAAATATCATAGGCAGCTGTTTATTACATTTTGTATCTTTCTACTAGGAGCTCTTAAACTTCTTGAATTGTCTTTAGACATAGGGGGATGAGTAAACTGCTAGAAATTCTTGAATTATATGCTTATTTGAAAGTTTTTAATAGTTCTATAATATTCTTTACCTTTAGAAGATGATAAGTGGAACTCCTAAATATCCCTGAATATTTTTTATGAGGAAGGGGCAAGTTAAAAATTGTAGAAACCTTTAAATACATATATGGATTATACTGTACTTTATGACTGAGCACATAAATAGTGCATACTTTTCTCTCAACCACCAGTTTTCATGTGTATACTGTTCTTCTTGTAGCCTCCAGTCTATTCAGCATCCACCAGATCAGTATTGAATCACATCTTCTTCTTACGGAGGCTTCAGACAATGCAAGAGTTCTTTCAACAGTGTCATCAGAATGCTGCTTCACTCCAGCTATCTGACAGAAGAGTAGGACTCCGGCTGCTGTCAGAAGATCATATTTATCAACCTATTAAACAGTTTATTGCAGATTACATGATCAAACAGGTAAATTTATATTGTAAGAGAGAAGAATTTTATTAAATTGAATAGTGAATATTATATGTGCAGTTTAAAATGTAATTAAAAGTAATTATGTTATTAAGTTTGTAGTAATTAATTTGCAGCTATTTTTTACATTAATAGCCATAACATTATTGGACATTACTGCTTCAGTTTCAAACCTCATGGTTGGCAGTGTATTTATGCTGTTGCTCTGTTTTCTCAAACCATTAGAAATTTTAATTTTGATTTACCATGTATTTTTTGTCTTGGCTATTTTCTCAAACCATTACAATGATATAATTTTGTTTTACAGTGGGTTTTGTATTTTAGTTTTGTTTTTCAAAATCTAAATTCTTTTTTCTCAAATCATTACAGTAATACAATTTTGTTTTACAGTGGGTTTTGTCCTTAACTGTTTTTCAAATCATTAGAGAACTATAATCTTGTTTTGCACTCTAATTTGTGTCTGGCTTTGCTTTCTCTAACTATTATGGAATTGTAATTGTTTTACAGTGTCTTTTGTGCTGTAATTCTGTTTTCTCAAATCATAAGAGATCTGTATTTTATTTTATTTTTTGCTACATGTTAGGTCCTGGGTCTGCCTTCTCAAGCTGTAACTTTTGCTCTCTGCAGTATTATGGGTAGCCTTGGTGTTGATGTTACTGCTGAGATTGAGCAAAAGGATATTGGTGCGGAGAGCAAAGTTTCACTGGATGATTTGTCTAACAAGGTAGTTGATCGATGTGTGAAAGACAAGTTCCCTTCTGGTCAGCTGAGCCAAACTAGTTCATTGACTAGTGCTTTGGATACTGTTTGGAGAAAATGGGATTTGGCTAGGTAGGTGATAAAATTAATATTACTTAAAGATTGTAACTGAATGTTTTTAACTTCCTATTCACTGATAGAATTGTGGCAAAAGAGCAATTATTCAGTTTTTAGGAATGAACTGTTCTCTGCAATATCCAGTGCAAGAGGCTTTTGCACCCTCCTTTTAACATGTTTTTCTGTGTCTATCAAACATGCATGTACAATGTGATTTGTGTCTAGCTTTATTTTCTGTATCTATTTAAGAACTTTGCTGTACTATATATTAAGTCCTGGGTCTGCCTTCTCAAGCTGTGACTTTTGCTCTCTGCAATCGTAGCCTTGATGTTGATGTTTTAAAATTTCAACCTCTTCTCTCTTTACTGAGATATATATTTGTTCAATACACATTGACACATCCCTTCCATATTCTCTGCTTTTTAAGAAATATCTATAATTCTTTCTGATGTTGCTATTGGACATGTTTATAACTAATATAAAGAGCAAATTTTAAACTACATAAAACAAACAAGTGTTTGTATTTTTTAGTGTAAGAGCTGATATTTCACTGTGAAAGCTTAACACATTTAGACAAAAGATGTTGCTCTGAGAAGTAATGAAATTTGTTTTAACTTTCAGCACGGGATTGGTCCCTGGGACTGACCTCACAACCATTTTATGCTTGTTATAGTTTTCATCCTATAACTTTTAAATTAGTAAGCGTATGTTAATGAAATTTGGTAGATTATCAGTAAACATTATTTTGTTTTCATATGCAAAATATGAATTTTTTTGTTAAGTCTTAAGGTTTCTAAAGCAATGTTTTTTTCATGCCTTTTTGTTTTCTTTTTCCATGTTGCCTATCAAACATGCAAAGTAATTTTCATTTTAAGATTGAAAATACTTTTATGCATCAGAAAATTTTCAAATTTCACATGCGAAATACTTATAATGTCCAGATAGTTATCAAATGTTTCTTAAGAAAAAACTTTGTATCTGTTATTTTCAGTAACAAATCCCTGTATAGATTTGGTCAATTTGACCGATCTCATAACCACCATTAAAAAAATTAGGTAATAAGTATAAATTATGCCTCTT